GTTAAACAGAGAAATAACAATTGTTTCAATGTCAGTTTCCTTTGATTAATATCGTTAAACAGAGAAACTTGTTTCGCTCCGGTTCAACATAACAACCATTAAACAGATCCACATATAAAGAAGACCAAACAGACCAATTACGATATCCAAAGATCATAATAGCAATAAATGAATACTGATGGTTCATGCAAAAAGTCTTCTTTTCATCTTCCTCCATAAAAAGGCTTTATTTAAGTAAAGCCCACAACCACACACGGAATAATCTTAACCTTCAGAGACAGTCTAGGACAGTGACGCTGACGCTGACTCATGGCGAAGGGCAAGAGCAGAGGAAAAACAGCTCAAGCACTCAATGAGGCTCCAGAGTTCTTCCTGCACTCTGCTAGCATGTCCGTGTAGAATTGGCACTTGCTAATGTCATTCTCGTAACTGTTCAGGCACTGCAAGAAAATAATCGCACATCTCTAATGTTAGCAAATAATAGAGAATCATTAACCAACAGCAGGAATAAAAACATTAATGAGTATCTATTAGCAATTTTCTTGAAGAAACCTTAAATTCATATTTCAAACATATTTCTCTCAAAACCGCATTCTGAAACCAATGGGATAACAGTACCGGTCCTGTTATTCAGTACATCATCAACTGAAACCTTGAGCAGTATACTTGTTGCCATAATGAGCCAATCACTAAGAACTCGTATACATTAATGACTAGCTATCAGTGATTTTCTTAAAGAAACTATGAATTAGAAATCCAAACATGCTCTGTTTCCAAAACTTAGGCTTGCCCCTGTAACCTAAAAAAAGATTCAAACATGTTTGGCTTAAAAACAGATTGTGAAACCAATGAAATAATCATAATGGTCCAGTTGTTCAGTAAAACATTAGCTGAAACCTGAAAACTATATTATATACTTGATGACGCCATACTGGTGGAAGCACAAGAAATTCATGCAAAGCATGGAAAGCACAATCATATAACATACATTTGAAACATATCTGACAACCCATAATAAGGAGCTGTTAAAGAATAAGAACCTTTCACATAGATCTTGCATGTCTTGTAGAATGTTAATCAAATAGATATTATTTTCTGCTGCTTAAGATATTTCTATACTACTGGACATATCAAAGCATATAACAGTCAAAACAATAATTGATGCATGAATTTGTGAGACATCCATCCCATAAGGAGTTATTCAGTTGTCCAAGTTCAGGTTTGATTTACAAGTCATAACCCAGATGGCTAGAGCAGGTAAGAAATGCATACATCTTGGAAGGCCTTTGTGTGAACACCGCAGGCATCGCTACCAAGACTATTTGCATTTGGTGCAGGGGCGGCAGAAGCACCCTCAGCAACAACTGTTTCATGTTGAATAGTTCGGGGACCCATCACGGCATCCACTGCCCTGTGTGCTACTGCACTACCAGTTCCAAAAGCCATGCCTACAACAAATTATCCATCCATTAAGCACAAAGAAATTCATTTTCACAGGTCCCATCCCATACATTAAAATGAAATAATCATATTCATTAACGTACCCTGAGCAATGGTTGAACCAATGCCACCAAGCAGAGAGCCACCACTGTCGCTCTGTGCGGGAGCTGGGGGAGGAGCATGGTGAGCTGCATTAAGACATAACCAAGGTAGACAAAAATTAAACTACTTCTTAAGTTTCTGGCTGAGTAATATTAATACTATGTCACAACAAAACTCTTTGGAAGATACATTAAACCTTCATCATCTTCTTAAGTTTCTGGCTGAGTAATATTAATACTATGTCACAACAAAACTCCTTGGAAGATACATTAGACCTTCATCATCTTCTTAAGTTTCTGGATGAGTAATATTAATACCATGTCACAACAAAACTCTTTGGAAGATACAGTAGACCTTCATCATTATTTGGATTTAAGAACAACTTAACTGTGTTGTCAAAACAGTTAAACTTTTCGGAACTTAAATTAGGAGCATGGTGTAGAGCTTAACTTTGTGAACTGAAACCCAAAAATATTGACAGTTTAACCATTTATTGCATCATATTCTTATTTACCTGGCTGAGGTGGGGGGTTACGAGCCGCTGCTGGACGAGGCACCGAACGAGGAGATCTTCCTGCAAAGATAATCATATCACAAAGGATCACACAGCTAAACTATTACCTCTCAGTGCAACATGCACAAATTATTGATTAGTTAGTTTATTGATTCAGAATTTTGTAACCAAGACAAAAAGAAAAAAAATAATAATTACAATATAATAGCAGCAAACGCTTGGATGACAGGGAAACTAGCTTACATTCCAAATGTTTCACTAAAAGAAATGTTCTACGAAAACATTGCCGTTTGTGACATCACAGATCGCCAAGTTGAAACCATAATAACCACAAATGACAAAGTCAGGATAAAAATCCGATTAGCATCAAAGTATCCTCAATAAAGAGGCAACCTACGCTTTTGGCAACACCCCACAAAAATCTTGCTTAAATGATCATCGACTTACGCAATAAGCACCACAATTATTCCACACGCATCACCAGAAATGAGGGAGCATATGCATCAACGCATGAAAATTAACGGGTTAAGGAAAAATACATCCCTCTAAGCAGTAAACGATTTCCCATTTTTCGGGAACGACGGAATTAACATTTCAGCAAAAGCATAAACGTCTAGCGTCCATCAACAACAACACCTTTCAAGCGCAAAACATAGAACCCTAAAACCCCAATTCCTTCGATAATGAAACAGGAAAATTGGAAAAGAGAAAAAACCCTAGATATCAACGAAGAACTAATCCCATAGCTTCCTAGTAGATTAATGTCCAGAAGATGAGCACGAAATATAAATCGATTAGAGGTCAGCCAGTTACCACTGGAGCTGCGGCGAGGCATGGTTAGGGTATGGGGTTGAGGCGGCGAAAGAGCAGATTGAGAGACGAAGATCTCTGAAGAGGAATCATGAAATATGCCGCTGCAAAAATACAAGGGAAAATTCCAGATAAAGCCATTTGAATATACATAATTTCACAGTGGGTCCTGGAATTGTTTAACTGACAGAAAGGATCAATAACCCAATCTGTCATTTCTAAAATTAAAAGTAATTAACAATTTTGTCCTCATTTGTATTCATTCACTACAATAATTTAAGAAATTACTATAAAAGTTTAGGTATTACCTAGATTCATGTAGAAAATAACTATTTATTTTTTCGTAGTCAGGAATGCTCCATAAGAAGGTACCTTGTTATTAACTACAACTAATCATGTAATCACTAGAAAAATATAAGCATTACCTAGATTTGTTTAGAGAATAATTACTCACTTTTACTTTCATTTGTATTCATTCACTACAATAATTTAAGAAATCACTATAAGGGTTTAGGCGTTATTTAGATTCGTGTAGAGAATAACTATTTGTTTTTTCATAGTCAGGAATGCCCTATTAGAAGATGTTTTGTTATTAACTGCAACTAATCATATAATCATTAGAACAGTATAAGCATTACCTAGATTTGTTTAGAGAATAACTACTCACTTTTGTTTAATCAAGACAAAATTGTCAATTGCCTTTAATTTTAGAAATGACAGATTGGGTCATTGACCCTTTCTTCATTTACAGAATTTCAAGACCCAATACGAAATTATGTATATTCGAATGGCTTTATCTGGGAATTTCCCAAAATACAAACAACCAAACCCTTGAAACGGGAAATTTATAGCGAACGCCACAATAAGATTATGAGCTGCGGATTAGCCCAAAAATGGAGCTCTAGAACCACTTAGATTGTGTTAACATGGAAGTACATGATTGGTTGATTTTAGGTCTCGTTCAATTTTCCGTTGTGTTTGGATGTGTTGATTACTTTTATCTTATATTAATTTTTTTTTATAAAAATCATTTTGTTAAATTGAGACTTATTTGAATAAATAATAAAAAATAAATTTACATATAAAATGACTGAAAAAGTCATGTATTTTATAACCTATATCTAATATATACGGTTTGATAAATTTAAAAACATAATAAATTAAAATAAAATTTATAAAAATAAAAAGAGTTAATACTTTATTAAAGAAAAGGACAATACTTACATCAAGTTTCTTGTATGTATTATGTCAAATTTTTTGATCACACATATCTATGTGTTTTATTTTTAAAATATTTCCATTTAATAGTGTTAAATTATAAATTCACACGAAAAAAAAAGAACTCATGACCAAATGTGACTGAAAAATTTGATATGATAGATATAAGCAGCTTGACCTAAATTTTTTTTCAAAAAAAATGTATTAAAAAAATTATTACCAGCAAAAAAAAATAAATTATTAGATCAATGTAGAATCTGTTTGAATACAATTATCTTTCTTTTTGTTCTCATTTGTTTTTCCTCCCCAAAAGCTCATTAGAGAAAAAGTTAACCAAACACGTATAAACGTTAAAACCACCGATCAATTGACTTCTCACATTGCCCAAGGCATGTTTGCTAGTTGTAACGCCAATCCGAACACATGCTTTGTGGTTAGCAAAAAAAATTGAATGCTTGTGATTTTCCTTACTTTCGCATCATAAAATAAAACACAAATAGTTGGGTCTTCTGTCGCTAAACACCTTCAAAACCTTTCTAAATGTAAAATTGTGAGTCTCGACTTTTCATGAGGGGTATAAGAATGTCAGAATAAAAGCGAACACATATTAATATTAGATATACAGAATAAATTTAACAAAACACAACAACAACAACATGATTACTCTTTTTGCTTCTTATTATGATAAGATCTCTTCTAAAAGAAAATTTTGGTCCTTTTTATAAGACCGTACAATAGTTTCAATCAGACTCCTCCTCATTCATATTATCATTTCACATCCCCTTGTTTAATTTAATTCATGTTAATGCTTTTTTCATTCCTCAACGTTCAAAAACAAATGAATCAAATGCAATTTAAACAGCTAAATACATTTGCAATGGAAAAAATGTAAGAAAAAGGAAAATAATTCAAGACATGAAAAAGGCAGAGACTTCGTATATTAATACAACAAACATATAAATCATCACCATTTTAACATACGACATGTTTTATAGACAAAATAAATCAAAGGATAAAGGAAACCGTAACTAAAACTTCAACACAGAGATTATTTAACTAGTGGCACGTCTCTAATATTTTACGTAAATATGACCTTATCTTTTTTAATGAGACTACAACATCCGTCATCATTATTCGCGCCTCAGGTGATTCAGTGCAACAACTTAATGCCAAGTTAAAAATTGATGATATATGTGGTAATATATTGCTGATATTTGGATTTCCTTGATGCAGCAAATTAACATCTAGAATATTGATGATTGAATGTGGTGTTGATTTGCTAACCCAATCTTTTAAACCAAGACCTTCAACAAACATTTCATCAGTTGGCTTCTTCCTGGTAAACATCTCCATTAGAACAATGCCATAGCTATACACATCTCCTTTGAAAGAAATCACTCCTTTTGATCCATACTCTATATTTCAAAAGAGAATATAAGGTTTAATGTTAAACTTTTTTTTGTATATAGCTAATATAAATCTTCACATATAGGAACAAAAAATATATATCAATGATTGGATAATATAAAATTTTGCATAGAATAATAAAAAACAACATTATTGAACTAAAACATTATTATTTATTACCTGGTGCCATATAACCAACTATAGCTAATGTTTTTGTATGAGTTTCCAACAGTCCTTCACTTAATAGTTTAGCTATACCAAAATCACTCAGGTGAGCCACCATGTCTTCATCCAACAAAACATTACTTGGTTTTATGTCACAATGAACAATTGGAGTTAAAGTACCATGATGAAGATACTCTAATGCAGCTGCCAGGTCAACCATTATATTCAACCTTTGCAGGATATCTAAACAGTAGTTATGAGAGTACAACCATCTATCAAGGCTTCCATTTGACATGAATTCCATGATTAGAGACTTGAAATCATCGTTAGAGCAACTACTGATAATTTTAATAAGATTGCGATGTCGTAAATTGCACATGGCAGCACATTCAACATCAAAACTTCTGAATGCTTCTTCCATGTCTATGTTAAATACTTTGACAGCAACTATCTTTTCATTGGGAAGAATCGCTTTATATACTGATCCAAAACTCCCAGAACCAAGAAGATTACCCTCATCAAATCCATTTGTTCCTTGTAGAAGGTCATAATAAGATATCCTAGTTGGTGCATCCAAATTTGTTAAATCCCTATTGGTTGGATAGTTAGCATCATCTCTGTTATGCTTTAGAAAGACAATGCCTATAAAAACCAAAATGACAACCATGATAGGCACTGAACATTTTATCGCCAACATCACTTTATTTGATATATGCTTGTTTCCTCTCCTACACGGTCGGACTTGTAGTTGGGATTTTCCACAAAGATCTTTATTCATCATAAAAGATTGAGCAGTAAAATTTTGAAAAGGGTCACCGTTTGGAATTTCTCCATCCAATAAATTGTATGAAAGATCAATAGATTTAAGATAGAGTAGTGACTCCAAGGACTTTGGAATCGCACCAGACAAGTGATTATGAGAAAAATCTATTAACTCAATACTTATCATGCCACTTAGTGATTCAGGTATAGGCCCTTGTAATTTGTTGTGAGCCAAAGATAGCTTTTGCAAAGTTATCAACGTGGCCATAGTTGTAGGTATACTTCCTGAAATTTGGTTTCTTGACAAATTCAATAGTATAATTGCTCTCAAATTTGATACTTCTGGTGAAATTATGCCACTCAATGTATTGGAAGATATATCTAAAACCAAGATATTTTTGAGACTCCAAAAAGAAGGAGGTAAATGAGAACCTAGCTGGTTAAAGCTAAGATTTAATTGATGCAAAGAAGTCTTCCCAAGACATTCTGGAACTGCTCCCGTAAACATGTTGTTTGCAAGATTCAACTCACTCAGACTTTCGAGTTGACAAAGGTCATTTATAATGGACCCTTGCAATCTATTGTTGCTGAGACTTAAATGTTGAAGACTATGTAATTTATTAACTCTATTTGGAATCAACCCAGTCAAATTATTCCCATCCAAAGCTAAATTGATCAGATTTTTTAAATTTCCAATTAGATAGGGTATAGCTCCGCTAAACTTATTCAATGATAAATCTAACGTAATGAGCTTAGAAGCATTTGATATGCTGTTTGGAATTTATCCAATTAGATCATTTGTATCCAACCATAAGGTCTCCAGGTTGGGAAGGTCAATTCCTAAATATGATGGGAGAAGGCCGGAGAGGGAATTACTACCAAGGCGTAAGATTCTCAATGTCGAAATGTTGAATATATTTGAAGGAATAGGTCCTTGCAAATAATTAGAGGTCAAGTCTAAGACATTAAGTTTATCAAGTTTGTCTATCCCTTTGGGTATAAAACCTGCACACAAAAATTGACAGAGATCATGACTTGTATATGGTTAAGATAAGAATACATACAAATAAATTTATTTTTATTACTTTTTAAGCCTTTATAACATTTTTGAAGCACAAATTATGGAAATCACATAAACTACCCTTAGTTAAGATGCCATGGTTTATAGAAGAATTGTTTGAAAGTTAAAGTTTAATTTTAAGTTGTAATTTCTGAATAACTATTTAATAGAAAATTAATAAATTTCTGATATAGTAAAGAAACAATTGAAAATTTTGAGGAAAGAAAATTAAACAGGGAAATGATGTGTTGTTTAATTGAGGGCAGAGGAAAATGGAGAAAAATAAAATCTCATTTTAGTTTTACTCCACTACAGGGGAAAAATAAGAAAACCATAAACTCCCATCAATTCATGATTTGATCTTTTGGTATTTTGGGATACTAGCTATATTCAAGCCCCCACTAAGAATATGGGCAATATTAATGAAAAGATGAAAAAGAAAAATCTCATTTCAAATTTATGAGAAGAAAAATAAAACAGTTAACGTTACTTGCATATAATACACATGATATATGTTTGTGTGTGTATTATAACAAATAAAACTATGTGTCTTACAAATATTAGAAATTATAAAATGTACCGAGAAATTATTTTTCTTTGTTTAGGTCTTCGTGAAAATTTGGAAATAAAAAAAATTAAGAAAATCATAAATTATAGCTAAGGTGAAATGACCAGTATTTCTTTGAAAAATAAAAGTGTTTGTGCTGTAATTATTGAATAAGTGTTTAATTTGAAATGAACAAATTTGAAAAATAAAAAATTTGAAAAAGAAGCATAACAGATGAAAAAATGTACTCTGCAATAGAGAGGAAAAAAAATACGAAATTAAATTTGTTAGGAAACAGAAAAAATCTAAAAAAACAAAGTACTGGCATATAATAAGTACGTATGCTGCATTTAAATTTGGTTGAACAAGCATTTCATGAGTTGCAGTTATTGTATAATTTGTAATTGTAATTGATCTTCTATACATATCTAAATAATTTTTGTTTATTGTACATTTTTTAATTATTGCGTTGTAATTTGTAAAAAATATTATAATTTTAATTTCAGTTAAACAATGTTGAATTGTTGCAACTTATATATAAATAATAAATAACTAAAAACAATTCCAAACTCATCTGTATTTTAATATTATTTAAATATTAAGATGAGAAAAAAAATAAAATTAAAGTAATTAAGAAACAGAAAAAATTTTGATAAAAAAGTGCTGTATGGTTCGGAGTTTTGCCATCAAAGAGTATATGTGAGGATTTTGTTTTTCTTTGTTACAAATTTCACGACATCCATCTGTTCATGCTTGCGATTTTGAGAAAAACAAAATCTTATTTTACAGAAACGCATTAAAAAGAAAAGAAAACACTAAAGTAAGTGCATACCTGTAAATGAGTTGTCACCCAAATATAATTCTTTTAAAGATGTGCAGTTGCTTATTGATTGTGGAATGCTTCCCTCTAATTGATTAACAGCAACATTAAAGAGTTCAAGTAAAGGGAGTTGATGACACATTTCTTCTGTCAAACTACCCTTTAAATGATTTTCGCCAAGGGTAATTTCTTTTAATGACGGCGTGTTCCAAAGAAATGAAGGAATTTCGCCTATAAATAAATACAAAATATTTGTTAATTACTAGGTAGTATGGCAAGCATGTTCCTAATACATCCGTCTGTACACAAGCATATAAATAATACATGGAATTTTGGTAATTAGATGCTTAAAATTAATAGAAAATAATTTATTTTTTGTTGGACCATAGTTTTTTTTTTGGTCCAATGTTGGACCATAGTTTAAAGGGACCCTTCCAATATTAATGACCAATTAGATGTTAAATTTCTTTCAAAGAAGAATTGTTGAAGATCAGAGACTATGGAATTAATCTCACCTAATCTAAAATGAACATCCAAATTATTTATATTTTGTATTATAGTTATTAAAGTATTTAAAAAGGCTCTAACTTTAAGATCTGAGGATGAATTCATCATAGGCAAAAAGGGCTGAAATTTTAAATTTTCTTTAAGGAATTAGAAATAGTTTTAGTTACACATTTTGGAGATGAAACAAAAAATTAAGGATAGAATTTCACCCGTTTCAATGTAAAAGTGAATAAAATACGAGTTATATATGTCTGGATGAGAGAATTGGAAGTATCATGAAATCTATTCAAGTACAAGTCCTTTCCTCAAATAAAAACAAACATTATACTAATAGCAAACACATACTTATTCTACTGATCCAAAATTAAATTTATTTCTCTTTTTAAAGACATTTTTGTTGGGGCAAAAATTGGGAGGTATCCCTGAAGATCACTATACCACATCATATATTGATAGTCCACAAAGTTTTTCAGACCGGTGCTTAGAGGGCTTCTCTAATTTTTTTTTAAATGATCCGAAATTATATTTTATTTCTCTTTTCAAGGATTTCTATCATGAATGCAAACTCTTTAGTAAGCTTCTCATGATTCTTTAACATGAATTAAAGAAATGAAAGGCAAAATCTCATTTTAAAATTATTTTTTATTGGAGAGATGAAAACCAAAACAAGAAAACAAAAACACACATGGTCTAAGACAATCATATAATTAAAACTATTACCTTGCAAATTGTTGTAGCGAAGATTAAGTAGTTTGAGGTTTGTCAAATTTCCAATCTCACTTGGAATGATTCCTGGACAAAGTATATAAATAGCCATTTTATTGATCAAAGTATACAAATGATGTGGTAGATTAAGATTAAAGTTTTAAAAAAAATTGTTTCCATGTTTTAGATATCAAGTGGCCCCATTAGACCATGATCTTACCTTTTCTTTATTTTGGCATTGTAATATTGTTTGCATATAATATACATAAATAATAAAGAAACTTCACGTGTCTCACGTACTAATTTCAAAAACTTGAACATGTGTGCTGTACTATTAATCCATGCATAAATGCTAAAAGGGGGAAAGGCAAATTTCCTCTAACCATCAAATTTCTCACCTTTTAATATTGCAAATGAGTACGTTAAGTTTAACTATATAACTTTTATGCATTGCCAATTAATCATGTACGGCATAAAGCATTAGACTGCTTTTTCAGCAATTTATCTCTGATGAAGGAATTTGTTTTGTGCAGTTTTAGCGAGAAATTATTAAGTAAACTTTGCTGAACAAAAAAGTTCCACAATAATGTTTAATGAATTGATATTTTTTTATGTAATCTCCCATGCTTTCTCCCTCATGTTGATTTTTCATACTTCTTTTAATTTTAAAATAAAATAATGATTAAGAAGTTATTAGTGGAGAGTTTTATGTTGAAGATAATTATTATCAATTGAACGTACTGAATAATTCCACTTTATAATTATTCACAATTGATATTTTATAATTATTTTAATTAAATAAATTTCTTTTTTATTGTACTAAATAAGAAAAAACGCACCTGCAAACTTTTCTGTTTTTAGTATTAATTATTAAACTTATCCCATCCTACAAATAAGTCGAGAACTTGCCTTAAATATAACAAAAGAATTTCAAGCAATACTCATTTCAATTCGGAAGAGTAAAATACAAAAGAAAAATTATTCTTTACATTAATTTCAACTCTTTTAAAAAATTTTAAAATAAAAAATTATCAAAATTATTTAATAATTATTTAATTTTTTGTTGGTAACAATCATTTAATTTGAAATTAATAAATTTGAAAAATAAAAAATAACATGTGGGCAAGTGGGCACATTATACACCGAGTACTCAAGAAATTCTGTTTTTGAAGTGGGCCCGTGAGCTCACTTGATGAGGTCATGATCCTATCTTTCCGTTATTTTGGGATTGTATGAAGGAAAAATGGCAAATAAAACATCATCAAAAAACAAAAGACAAATAAAAACCCCCAATATATGAAATTGTGATTTAGGACCCTTAATTTGAAAAATGATAAATAAAAACCTGATCTCATATTGCAAATATGAGATTTTGGAAAAATGTCTGAAATGTTTGAAAAATAAAAGTTTTTATACGGTAATTATTGAATAAGTGTTTCATTTGAAATTAATGCATTTGAAAAATAAGAAATTGAAAAAGAAGCATAACAGATAAAAAAAAGTACTCTACAATAGAGAGGGAAAAAATATAAAATCACAGTTGTTAGGAAACAGATAAAATGGCATATAATAGCTATGTATGTTGCATTTAAATTTGGATGAACAACCATTTTATGAGTTTCATTTATTGTATAATTTGTAATTGATCTTTTATACATATCTAAATAATTTTTTTATTGTACATTTTTTAATTAGTACGTTGTAAATTTTTAAAATATTATAATTTTAATTTCAATTAAACAATGTTGAACTGTTACAATTTATATGTATAATAAATAAGTAAAACCAACTCCAAACTTATCTGTATTTTAATATTATTTAAATATTAATACAAGAGAAAAAAATAAAATTAAAGTAATTAAAAGACAGAAAAAAATCTTGATAAAAAAGTATTGGGTGGTTTGGAGTTTGTCATCAATAGCATATGTGAGGATTTCATTTTTCTCTGTTACAAATTGCACGACGTCCATGATTCGGATTTTAGAGAAAAACAAAATCTCATTTGAGAGAAAAATATTAAAAAGAGAAAGAATACACAAATAAATAAGTACATACCTGTAAATGAGTTAGTATCCAAATATAATCCTTTCAAAGATGTGCAGTTACTTATTGATTGTGGAATG